CAAATCCTGACCTCAGACATGGGAAATACGCTGCCTCATCACTCCAGGATCTTTTCTCACATGATTAGTCCCAACATTCCTGCAAGTAGAACAGTCCCCCATCACTACTGCTGCAGCCAAAAAAAAAAAAAAAAGGCAAGCTATTTTTTTCTTTCCATTCCCCAAGTTAATATTCACCACTATCACAGCCTCATTTCATAGGCTGAGGGCTACTTCAACAGTGTAATGCTATTGCCATCTATGGGCAAGTAATAGTCTTACCAGTCACACTTACAAGTCAAAGTCGGAATACATACCTAAACTGACAAGTACTCTCAGGAAAGTTTTAAGGGACTTTAAAGAGGATTTTATTTAATCTTTTCCAATGGCTAAGATATAGGATCTAGACAAAAGTCATTCACAGACAGCAATTACTTCTCATGATCTTTGTCATAATCCTAATTATGTATTCATTCAGCTGGATTCATTTTGCCTGAAGAGTTTTATTTTGATGCTATAATTTGAGCAGGTGGGAGAGGCCACGTTAAGCTGTCGATACAGGAGAAGCACACATACTCTATATATTTTAAACAAAAGATCTGAATTTATTTGAAATGACTACTATCATTATCAAGTGCTTAAACAATGATGGAAGGCACAACAGTGATGAACACGCTTCAGTGCTACAGGAAAGCTGAAGAATAATTTACTTGCTTAGTAACTTCTAAAAAGGTAAGGTTTCAACCTTAATAAAAGAAACGGTTAATTTTAATCTAGTGGTTATAAATGACAAATATGTACTGACAGAATAGTTTGACTGAAGTATAAAAGTTACTGCAAACTCTTTTTAGCTTCCTTATGCCTCTAAGAAAGAATTTGGCTCTTTTTCAATAACCTGGTGGATCATGCTCGTATGAAAATTTTTTTTTCAGTATCTGTAAGAAATACAAAGCAAAACTGAAGCTCCCACTCACTGGGAGACTCTACAGATGACATTTAAAAGAAAGTACAACACCACAGCAAGATGAAAAATGGGTTTTCTGTTAAATTATAACTAGCTAGAGAGTTACACTGCTCTCCAGCTCGTGATAAAGGCATAAAGACTGCCTCCCATGCCTGCCGAGCTCTCTACCAGGTGGCACGGACCGTGCACGGTTAACTTGTCAGCCTTGGCCTCTTCGTGGTCCCTGCCGAACCAGTGAAAGGGAAATGCCCGGGCCCTGAGAGCAAATACTGCCCCACGGCTTGTCACTGAGCTCACAAAAAAAAGGAAAAAAAAAAAGTGGCTAAGGCATGGGACCCATTGCAGCCCCTTGCCAGAGGAAGGGCACTGTAAGGCTGAACCTTGTAGCAGCCGTACGAAAAGAACCGAAGCACAAAGTCCTCTCCTGACAAAGTCAGAACAAAATCGTTTGGATAGGATTTCTGGAAGAAAGAGCCAGAGGTGTTTGTGAATAAGCGCAAGAATAGGCACTTCCAGTGACTGCAGAACTGTAAACAAAAGCACTTTTGTGCACTCCCGGATTACTTGCTCTTATTTTCTCTTACAGTCACATGCTTATGTGGGCCTGTACTGTTTGAAAACATGATTCATTAAGACGTCTTAAATTCCAACCAAGTATTGTACTATTAACACTGACTTCGTTTTAACTTTCCTGTTGCTTAGTATAATTTGTTTCATAACTGTATCTCTTACGTGACCAAATCCCCACTGAATCCTTTAAAAGTTTTTGTTGATACGTGCACTACATTTCCAAAGCGTTCCAGATTTATGGGTTTCCCCCCCTCTGCCCCATCATTGTTTCACTGGTTCAGGGACATCCCCTTCTTTTCAGCAGACTGAAATGTCCAGTAATCTGAAACAGATTTGGTGACCCTATAGCATTAAATCATGCTTTGTGGGGCTTTATTCCTGCTCCAAAAGACTTTATGCATTAGCGGGTACATAAAATTGCACCAGAGACTGAATACATATTGAAAAGTAATAAATGATTCCATATGGTCTTAATTTTTCAAAGCACTGCACCACTGCTTTAAAGCAATAGTATTTAATTTTCCAATTAGGAAGATTTTTTAAACAGCTCTTCTAACCCACAGATATGGGAACACTCTCACTTCAGATATTCTCCCCAGCTAGAGAGGTTTGGGTGCACCAACGATTTTCACAGTCAGATGGTGTCCTCAGTTAGCTAGCTAGCAAGCGTACAATTAGCCAAGGCATTTAATTTCTTCCTTTTATTCAAAAAAGCTTGTGTCATCATTACTGCGAAGACACAGGTCACAAAGCCTCTGTGAGCAAACTGAATAGCATACGTTCCTTTTTAAGACTCACATACTTGAACATCTGTCAGACCTCAGCTAGAGTTCCTCCCCAGTTTTCCCTGTTTACTTCCAAGGAAAAAATCCATTCTGGTAAAACAAGGCTTATAAGACCCCTACCTAGATATGTTTTACGCTTAACATGCCTATTATGAAGAGTAGCTACGTATTTAGAAAAAACAGGCTCTTCAGCAGATCAGTTCTCAGGATGTGTTCAATTACGTGCGCTCACTTAAATGGTACCCCCTAAAAAATAATAATAAAAAAAAAAATAAAATCGGGTCTCGTTCTCGCTGTCATTGGCTCTCCATGGGTAAAACAGCAGTGAGTGACTTAAGGTGCACACCTTTAACACAGCGGTTTGCGAGGCTGAAGGAAATTATTTTGCAGGGCAGGCAAGGGTGCGTACAAACGGAAGAACTCAACTTTTCAGATTCCAAGAGGAGTTTGCAGGGCAGTTAGCTATGATGGCATGCCCAGAGCACGTTGAAGTGACACTCACATGAGCTGCAAGGAATGTAAGGCCTTCAACACCAGAAGCAGGACCAGGGGCAGAACTGAGGCATTAAAGTTCAGAACTGCCCTCCCAAAGGCTCTTGCTCAGCCGATGCCTAATCCTGGAGGCTCTGGAGTCCTATTTTTAGGCTGTCAGCATCCCAAGATACAGGACATTCTGCGTTTCGCATACCCGGAGCCGCCCCGCGTTGGGCAGCTCCGTGCCTCTCTTCCCCCCGAGCCCAGCGCTGGAATTTGGGGCTCAGACACGTCTCGGTGCAAGACGAGAGCCCCAGCCCCGGCTGGTTCCAGCTCCTCACAGCACGGTGCTGTGATCGCTCTTCCAAGACGGGGCAGCAGGCAGGAGGTGCCCGTCGCTGGCTGAGGCGTCTCTCAGGCACGCGGGAAACGTGACCCCTACCCATTCCTCCGACTTGGTGCAGCTCCTGAGTCAGCAGCCGCCCAGTTCCTCCTGGGTGGGAGAGGGAACCAGCTGCAAATGCTTATCATCGACTTCCCCACCGTGTGCTGAGCCGCTGGCCGCTTTTGCTTAACATTTCACCAGCTCCTTCGAACCCTTCCTCAACTCCTCAGGGGTGACTTCCTTCCCGCTGTGTGCCTTCCAGTGACCCCACGCTGGGAGACCCACGGGCAACTTCTGCCCACTTCTGCCCGACAGGGTTCAGGTGCCTCCCTCGGACCTTCCTGAAGAGTCTCTGACCGGGGAGGTAGGACAGCTCGAAGAGGCTCTGACCGGGGAGGCAGGCCAGCTTGAAGAGTCTGTGACCCAGGAGGTAGGACAGCCCGAAGAGTCTCTGACCGGGGGGGCAG